TTACTTACTTACATACTGAGTTACTTACTCCTTCAAAAACAAACGAACATACTAACAAAAGCAACAATCTTTTTTTACAATCCTTTCTCCTCCAAATTTATTTTCTTAATTCATTATTTATTCTTATATTTAAAGTTGGAATAGTATTGGTGCATAGGGTGCAAAAGATTTAGGCACAGGAATAGCGTAGTGCAAGAATATCACAAGTTTGACACTTGATTTATAGTAAAAACTTAATTTATCGATTGATAAAGCAAGAAATTTTGAAAAAATTGATTATTTTGTTGATTTACGCTTTTCACTTAGTGATTAGCTAATTAAGTCACTTCATTAGTAAGCAAGTTAGAGTTAGTTAGTTATTTATTTTTTTATTAGATTGCTTTTTTAATAACTTACTTACTCCTCAACTAAAAAATAATCAATTTGTTAACTTAATTACTTAATTACTTACTTACTTACATACTGAGTTACTTACTCCTTCAAAAACAAACGAACATACTAACAAAAGCAACAATCTTTTTTTACAATCCTTTCTCCTCCAAATTTATTTTCTTAATTCATTATTTATTCTTATATTTAAAGCAATAATAGTATTGGTGATGAGGGTGCAAAAGATTTAGGCACAGGAATAGCGTAGTGCAAGAATATCACAAGTTTGACACTTAATTTAAAGTAAAAACTTAATTTATCGATTGATAAAGCAAGAAATTTTGAAAAAATTGATTATTTTGTTGATTTACGCTTTTCACTTAGTGATTAGCTAATTAAGTCACTTCGTTAGTAAGCAAGTTAGAATTAGTTAGTTATTTATTTTTTTATTAGATTGCTTTTTTAATAACTTACTTACTCCTCAACTAAAAAATAATCAATTTGTTAACTTAATTACTTACTTACTTACATACATACTGAGTTACTTACTCCTTCAAAAACAAACGAACATACTAACAAAAGCAACAATCTTTTTTTACAATCCTTTCTCCTCCAAATTTATTTTCTTAATTCATTATTTATTCTTATATTTAAAGCAATAATAGTATTGGTGATGAGGGTGCAAAAGATTTAGGCACAGGAATAGCGTAGTGCAAGAATATCACAAGTTTGACACTATATTTATAGTAAAAACTTAATTTATCGATTGATAAAGCAAGAAATTTTGAAAAAATTGATTATTTTGTTGATTTACGCTTTTCACTTAGTGATTAGCTAATTAAGTCACTTCGTTAGTAAGCAAGTTAGAGTTAGTTAGTTATTTATTTTTTTATTAGATTGCTTTTTTAATAACTTACTTACTCCTCAACTAAAAAATATTCAATTTGTTAACTTAATTACTTAATTACTTATTTACTTACTTACTGAGTTACTTACTCCTTCAAAAACAAACGAACATACTAACAAAAGCAACAATCTTTTTTTACAATCCTTTCTCCTCCAAATTTATTTTCTTAATTCATTATTTATTCTTATATTTAAAGCAATAATAGTATTGGTGATGAGGGTGCAAAAGATTTAGGCACAGGAATAGCGTAGTGCAAGAATATCACAAGTTTGACACTATATTTATAGTAAAAACTTAATTTATCGATTGATAAAGCAAGAAATTTTGAAAAAATTGATTATTTTGTTGATTTACGCTTTTCACTTAGTGATTAGCTAATTAAGTCACTTCGTTAGTAAGCAAGTTAGAGTTAGTTAGTTAGTTATTTATTTTTTTATTAGATTGCTTTTTTAATAACTTACTTACTCCTCAACTAAAAAATATTCAATTTGTTAACTTAATTACTTAATTACTTATTTACTTACTTACTGAGTTACTTACTCCTTCAAAAACAAACGAACATACTAACAAAAGCAACAATCTTTTTTTACAATCCTTTCTCCACCAAATTTATTTTCTTAATTCATTATTTATTCTTATATTTAAAGGTGGAATAAAATTGGTGATGAGGGTGCAAAAGATTTAGGCACAGGAATAGCGTAGTGCAAGAATATCACAAGTTTGGCACTTAATTTATAGTAAAAACTTAATTTATCGATTGATAAAGCAAGAAATTTTGAAAAAATTGATTATTTTGTTGATTTACGCTTTTCACTTAGTGATTAGCTATTTTATTCAAAATAAATTTTTTTATTTAAAATTAAATCTAAAATAATAATTTTAATATAGAAAAAAATGATTTTATAAAATATATTTAAAACAAATAGTTTGATAAATATACATTTTATATATAAAAACTAATAGTAAGAATCAGATTTCTCAATCAAAAGAATAATTCGAAAAAATATTAAGAGATCAATTAAAAAAATAAAAAATAAAAGTAAAATTAATAAGATTATAAAATAATTTAAATATTTATATTTATATAATTAAGATTGAGATATATTTTTGAAGGACTTAAATACACTAATTAATTAAAATTAAAATAACATTTTTTTTATGAATAAAAAATAAAATGTATATTTTTGTAAATTTAATTGAATGTGATTAAATAACATAATCTAACTTAGTGAAAAACATTATAAATAATGAATACAATAAATAAAATGGATAGTTCTTTATAAAATGACATAGAAATTATTTAGCAAAAATATATACATATAAATAAATATATGTTTATAAATTTTATACATTTTTAAATAAATTTGGATATTTTGTAATAAATGAAAGCTAGTTTTTATTTTAAATACATAGACGCTGTATTTGATTTTTAATAACAAAACACCCATTACTATTTTAAATATTCAGATACACCCTCCTTAAAATCATAAAAATTAAATGAAATATCACCATTTATCTGTACATACCTAAAAATACAGTTGGTGATATTTTAATTACAGGATTAGCAATATTGATAAAAAAAAAAATAAATATCAAAAAGATTGCAAAATTTAAATAAAAATATTCTTAAAAAAATAGAAATATTTTAATATATATTTAAGCTAGTGTTGTTTGCAATTATAATATCACCTTATACAATATTCTTTAATTTTATATCTATCTAAGATGATTTTTGATAAAAATAGAAGGTAAATATCAAAAAAATTAAATATGAAGTAAAGATAATAAGTAATTAATTATCTTTATAATAATAAAAATAGCAATAGCTTAATAAATTTTAATTACTAAATAGTGTTTTTAGATTGTAGCATTTTACTAAAATCAATTTTATATCTAAGATGATTTTTAATAAAAAGAACAAATAAAAGTCAAAAAGAGTAAATATCATGTAAGATAATAATCGATCATCTTTATAATAATAAAATATAGGAATAGCTTAATAGATTTTAATTACAAACTTGTATTTTTCGATTGTAGAATTTTAATAAATATCAATTTTATATCTAAGATTTCTTTGTAAAAAGAACAAATAAATGTCAAAATGAGTAAATATAGCTTAATAGATTTTAATTACTAGCAAATATTTTTTGATTGTAGCATTTTAATAAAAACCAATTTTAAATCTAAGATTATTTTTAATAAAAAGAAAAAATAAATGTAAAAAAGAGTAAATATCATGTAAGATAGTAATCATCCTTATAATAATAAAAAATAGCAATAGCTTAATAGATTTTAATTACTAACTTGTGTTTTTCTATTATAGCATTTTACTAAAAATAAATTTTATAACTAAGATGATTTTTAATAAAAAGAACAAACAAATGTCAAAAAAGATGAAATTTCAAGTAAGATATTAGTATTTTTATAATAATAAAAAATAGGAATAACTTAATTATGTAAAAATAGCAAGTAAATATCAAAAAGTTTAAATATGAAGTAAGATATTTATTTACTATCCATATAATAATAAAAAATAGGATTAACTTAATAGATTTTAATTAATCACTTTTGTCTTTCGATTAAAGGATTTTAATAAAAATCAATTTTATATCTAAGATTATTTATGATAAAAATTCCAAGTAAATTAAAAGTTTAAATATGAAGTAAATAAGATAGCATTTTAATAAAAATCAATTTTATATCTTAGGTTTTTTTTAATAAAAAGAGCAAATAAATACCAAAAAGATTTCATACATATCAAACATAAAAATTTATTATAGCACTTCCAGGTATTAATTAAATTCTTATGGATGTGAAAATTTAAGAATTTAATTCTGGATTTGCTTTTAATAAAATAGATTAATTAAATTATTCTTTCTTTTATCATTACAAATATATTGCTAAACCTCTAATTAAAATATCACGAACTGTGTAGCAATGTACTGATAGATGGTGATATTTTCATTTAATTTTTATGATTTTAAGCTAATTTAGACTTTCTATTTTTTTATTTTTTTATCAACCTATTTTTATTAAATTTTGAAAATATAATGCCTTTTCTCAAATTTCGAATGTAAAAAATGAAGGCTGAGGGTAAAAAAATTCTTTTTAAAAATTAAAAATTTAATAAAAAAATCATAAAGATTGATATAAATTAAAATTATTAATATTATGAATTAAATTCTATTATAAAATTATTTATTTTAAAAAATTAATATTCAAATACATCAGCCATTCAAAAAAATAGTGATCTCAATTCACTAAATTTTTGAATGGCATTTAGCAATACTATAACTTTTTAAAAAAAATGGAATATTTTAAAATATATTGCAAGCTAGAGTTGTGTCTGTATGTAATTCATTCATAACAACATCTCCTAGATTTATATTTTTTCAATAATTTTATATCAAAGATGCGATTTTTAATAAAAATAGTAGATAAATATTAAAAATATTAAATATATTGTAAGATACTAATTAAGTAAATATCCTTATAATTATAAATAATAAAAATAATTTAACAGATATTAATTACTAACTATTATTTTTCAATAAAGCCATTTTCCACATTTAATAAAAATTAATTTTACATCTAAGATTACTTTTGAACCAACAAATAAATCTCAAAAAGTTAATACAAATTAATATCTTGTTTATAAAAATTGGAATTATCTAATTGATATTTCTAGCTAGCATTATGCCATAAAAACATTTACAAAAGATAAATACATACATTCATAATTTATGAGTAATTTTATATCTAAGATGATTTTTGATTTAAAGAACATAAATAAGTAAAAAAATTTCTTTTATACATATCAAATAAAATACTATCTTGTTTATAAAAAATATGAAAATTTTAATATTTATTGCAAGCCAGTATTGTGTCATTATAACATCTCCTATAAATAATATTAATTACATTTATATTTAAGTTTATTTTTGATAAATAAATGTAAATAACATTAAATATCAAGTCAGATATATTCCTTTTAATTAATAAAAAATAGGAATAACTTAATAGATATTAATTAATTAAAACTGGTGTTACTCTATTTTTACATTTTCCACATTTAATAAAGAATAATTTTATATTTAAGACTATTTTTGATAAAATTAACAAATAAATATCAAAAACATTAAATATAAAATGAGGTTATATCCTATAATAAAAAATATAAATAATTTAATAGATTTTACAACTAAGGTTGTGCTATTATAAAAATTTAATAAGATGATATTATATAAATTAAAAATTTGAATAATTTTATTGATATTAGCAGCTAGGATATTGTAATTCTAAAATGTTAAACATTGAGTATTAATTAATTAATTAAACTTATGTCAGTCTAAGATTATTTTTGATAAAAATAACAAATAAATGTCAAAAACATTAGAAATCAATTAAGTTAATTTTATTTGAATAAAAAAAGGATTAAATTTATATATAAATATTAATAATATGTATAGTTACTCTGCAATTAATAGCAACATTTTCAACTTTTTTTGAAATTTATTTATTTATTTTTATCAAAAACAATATTAGATATAAAGTTAATAAATAATTAAATATCAATTGAGAAAATACTATTGTGCGTAACGTAACCATCGCTATGAGATTCTAAAATTTTCCACATATTTATTTTATAGATAATTTAATATCTAAGATTATTTTTTATTCAAAAATAAATAAAAATCAAAAACATTATAAATTAATTATGATAACATTATGTAATAAAAAATAGGAGAAATTAATTTAATAGATACATATGAGTATCTATTCTTGTGAGACTCTAACATTTTAAGGTATTTATTATATGGATAATTTTAAATCTAAGATTATTTTTTAAACATAAACATTATTAATTAATTAAGAAAACATTAAGTAATAAAAAACTAGAGTAATTAATTTAATAGATATATGTGATGTGATAGCTATTTTTGTGAGATTCTAATATTTTCTACATATTTATTAAATTTATAATTTTAAAGATTAATTTTTATTAAAAAATAATTAAATGTTAAATAAATTATTAACAAAATATTATGTTAATAAAAAACAAGAATAATTTAATAGATTTTAGTATTATATTTAGCTATTATTATTAGATTCTAATACTTTCTACATATTTAATAAATTGATAATTTTTTATCTAAGATTATTTTTATGGAAAAACAATTAAATATCAAACAAATTATATCCAAAATATTATGTTCATAAAAAACAAGAATAATTTAATAGATTTTGTAACATATTTAGCTATTAATAAGTGATTCTGATATTTTCTACATATTTAATAAATTGATAATTTTTTATCGAAAATTATTTTTATTAAAAAACAAATAAATGTCAAATAAATAAAATCGAAAATACTTAATAAATAAATAATTTTATATCTAAGATTATTTTTAATTAAAAAGCAATTAAATATCAAACACAATATATCAAAATATTATGTTAATAAAAACAAGAATAATTTAATAGATTTTAGTAACATATTTAGCTATTAATATGTGATTCTGATATTTTCTACATATTTAATAAATTGATAATTTTTTATCTTTGATTATTTTTATTAAAAAACAAATAAATATCAAATAAATAAAATAGAAAATACTTAATAAATTAATAATTTTTTATCTAAGATTATTTTTATGGAAAAACAATTAAATATCAAACAAATTATATCGAAAATATTATGTTCATAAAAAACAAGAATAATTTAATATATTTTGTAACCTATTTAGCTATTAATAAGTGATTCTGATATTTTCTACATATTTAATAAATTGATAATTTTTTTTCTTTGATTATTTTTATTAAAAAACAAATAAATATCAAATAAATAAAATGGAAAATACTTAATAAATAAATAATTTTATATCTAAGATTATTTTTAATTAAAAAGCAATTAAATATCAAACACAATATATCAAAATATTATGTTAATAAAAACAAGAATAATTTAATAGATTTTAGTAAGATACTTAGCTATTATTATGAGATTCTAATATTTTCTACATATTTAATAAATTTATAATTTTTTATCGAAAATTATTTTTTTATAAAAAATAAATAAATATCAAATAAATTATATCGAAAATATTATGTTAACAAAAAGCAAAAATAATTTAATAAATTTTAGTAACATACGTAGCTATTGTTGTGAGATACTAATATTTTATACATATTTAATAAATAGATAATTTTATATCTAAGATTATTTAAAAAAAAAAAATACAATTAAATATCAAATAGATTATATCCAAAATATTATGTTAATAAAAAATAAAAATAATTTAATAGATTTTAGTAAGATACTTAGCTATTATTATGATATTCTAATATTTTCTACATATTTAATAAATTAATACTTTTTTATCTAAGGTTATTTTTATTAATAAACAATTAAATGTCAAATAAATTAGATCTAAATATTATGTTAACAAAAAGCAAAAATAATTTAATAGATTTTAGTAAGATAAGTAGCTATTGTTTTGAAATACTAACATTTTCAACATATTTATTATATTGATTAATATTGTATCTAAGATGATTTTTAAAATAAATAAATAAATAACTAAACATCAAATTTATTATATCCGTCCAAAATATTATGTTAATAAAAAATAAGAATAATTTAATAGATTTATAAGATACATAGCTGTTATTTTGAGATTCTAACATTTTCAACATATTTATAATATTGATTAATATTGTATCTAAGATGATTTTTAAAATAAATAAATAAATAACTAAACATCAAATATATTATATCCATCCAAAATATTATGTTAATAAAAAACAAGAATAATTTAATAGATTTAAGAAGATACATAGCTATTATTATGAGATTCTAATGCTTTCTACATATTTATTAAATTGATAATCTTATATCTAAAATAATTTTTTATTAAAAAACAAATAAATGTCAAATAGTTTATATCGAAAATATTATGTTAACAAAAAGCAAAAATAATTAAATAAATTTTAGTAACATTCATTAGTAGCTATTGTTGTAAGATTCTAACATTTTCCACATATTTATTATATTAATTAATTTTGCATCTAAGATGATTTTTAAAGTTAATAAATATCAAATATATCAAAAATATTATATTAATAAAAAAAAGAATAATTTAATTGATTTTAGTAACAAATTTAGCTATTGTTGTGAGAATCTAACACTTTCCGCATATTTATTTTTTATATTAATTTTGTATTTAAGTGATTTTTTATTAAGAAACAAATAAATGTCAAATATATAAAAACAAGAATAATTTAATAGATTTTAGTAACAAGCTTAGCTATTGTTGTGAGATTCTAACATTTTCCGCATCTTTATTATATTGATTAATTTTCTATTTAAGTGATTATTTATTAAAAACAAATAAATGTCAAAAAATACATTATATGGAAAATATTATGTTAATAAAATGCAAGAATAATTTAATAGATTTTAGTAACAAACTTAGTTATTGTTGTAAGATTCTAACATTTTCCGCATCTTTATATATTGATTAATTTTGTATTTAAGTGATTT